GGTGGGGCAGGGAGAAAAATCTTAATTCTTTATATCCACATAGACAAATTTATGTCATGCACACATAGATATGAAAGTAAAATACTCCTTGGAGAGAAAGATGATGTGGAAAATTGGTAGTGAAACACTGGATTAGAGGAAATCAATTATTTCTGTTTAAACTGTGAAATACTAGTCATATAGAAAGATGTTTAAAAAAAAAAATCCCAAGACCTGGTTTAACAGAAGTTAATATTTTGCTTAAAATTGTTTAAACATCTCAATAGTTTCTCAGTCAACCCTGGTATCATTTTTATCTACCTTTTCTTTCCATAGAAAGATAGCAATGTTTGAAAGAGCTAGCATACCTTGCATGCATGTTTTTATTATGTTGATTGTTAATGTACAATGGTATTTTGCATGGCAATCTTTTACGAAACTGAAAAGTTTCATCCAATTGTTCTACTTTTCTTTTTGAACTTGTAGACTGCCTCCTGGTCTACAAGCACAATAAAAAAAAAAAATCATAACTAAAATTTTTTTTCTTATGGAACAGTCAAATATACCTTTTCTTATTTGTAACTGAAACTTTAATAAAAAAATGTAACTGCTTCTTAGGTCTTGGAATATTAACCATTGATACTGTAAAATCTTACTTGATCTTCCTTTTTTGCTGTTGCATTAAAACTTATGTTTTCATGTCTTAGTTTGAGATAGTTCCTTTTAGCTTTTAGGTGAATATTATACATCTAGAGTTTGTTTCTAGGAAATATCAAAGTAGGATATACAGTAGCTTAAGTACCAGGGGTAGGAATTCTCTATTGCTTGTAAGTAACATCTACTCTATCCTTTACATTACTGACACATGGTTACTCATTTCTAATCAACAGTTCTACTGAGATCTCTGCTTTTATACATCAGAAAAGGGAATTAATTGCAATAAACATGTCTCATAGGACACACTGAAGAGCTTTCCTTTATGAAGGGGACTGTTCTCACAGTGTGGTAAAGATAGTTACTTATTATAAGCATTCAGTACAATCCCTTTTGAGTTTTAGATGCTTAATAGTATTGTTTCCTTTCCTTCTTTACAAAGCTTCAGTATCTCTTGATCGTAAAAGTTGAGTATCATTTACATAACACATACTTTCCAAATAATCTAAAATAGCAACTAGAATGCTACTGCTTTCTGATTAACCTAAGCAAGATTATGCTACCTTGTTGTTATGATAATAGGAGGCAAAGCTGTGAGCAGAATAAGTTGACAAATTATTCAATATCTCCCTCAAATTTTATATCCTGGTTGCCCACTAGACTAACCCTACAAGAAGGCTTACAGAAAACACTACATGGGAGTAAGTTCTACATATTGTATATGGCAGTAGAGCATTCGTTTTCAGTCAACTAGCACTTGGTTTCACTATATGCTCTTCTCTTGTACAAAAAGCTCCCACTCTCATGTCATGTCCTTTAGACAAAACTTCACTCTTCAATATCAGCGGTAACACACTGGATCCAAATTAGCCAGCGATAATGCCAAATCCTTCCAGTACGAAAAACAAAAAATTTACTGTATAAGGTAAGTGAAAAATTTGACTAGTTTCTAAATTTGTCAAATAGCCCCATTCCTCACGTAAGGCAAGGAATAGGGGTCCTGGACTTGGTGATAATTAAGGTGGGAGGATGAATGGGGTTTTACTTAAGACTTCAGAATTTTTACATAATACACAACTCAGGACTGAGGTAGGTTGATGATGCAGTCTGGATATGGCTTCATCTTATTCTCCATGGACTTCTACGTGGGTGACTTGTACGTCAGTCTGCTGTACTAAAGTGGTGAAAACTGGAGAGGTGGAGCCCCATGCCAAATGATTCAGTCACTGGGCACTGAAGCTGCTGGCCTTGGATGCTTTGCCTTAGCACTGGATAAGACTGAACAGTCATTTCTTAGGGAATCCAATTAGTTCTGGAGAGGGCAGTATAAAAGCAAGAGCAGTAGTAATACTAGTAGTCCCTCTCCACTTTGTCTTCCTGTCTCACCATGTGATATCTCCCCCGCTCACACTCTTGTTATTGTGAGGCCATCCACTGTGGAACCCTCACCAGGCTGACTGGAGACCAGTGCTATACTTCTGGACCTCTAGAACTGTAACCTAAAGGTTTCTTTTCTTTACAAATTATCTAGTCTCAGGCATATTGTTACAGCAGAAAACAGAACTATCAGCATGAGAACTAATATTTGAGAACTTAACTATATATTCAGTATTTTATATTCATCAATCCCTAAAGTAGACATTGTTATCCCAACAGAGCATAACACATAGAATAACATAACATAATTTTCCCTAGGCTATAAATCAGGCAAAAGATACAAGATTTGAATTTAAAATCCATACTTCAAATCACTGTAGTATAGTTTGTTAGCCAGGTATAGCAGTGCATGTCTGGGATTCCTACACTATGGGAGGCTGAAACAGGTTGACTGCAAATGTGAGCTCAGCATGGGCAACTAAGTAAGATCCTGTCTCAAAAATAATCCAAATAATCAGACTCACCCATAGTTTCTCAGTAGCCTATTTTTTCTGCCACTATGCCAAGGAAGATGACTCAGAATTTCAAAGTTCATTCCTTTTTTTTTTTTCAAAGTTTATTCTTAAATATAGACTTTGTTGTGTACTTGATCCCTACATGCTTCAAGAATAACTTACATCTTGGCTAAATAACGACTTCTGTTATTATTCTTAATTTCAAAATGCACGTAACTTTCAATGCTTATGTTCAGTTTTTAAAATTTCGCTTTCCATCATCCTCTACTTACTATCTTCACATCTTAGACCTTGTAGTGATTAATAACTGCTCTCTAATATTTTCAATTTCAGTCACTTCAACCTCATGAATTTCTAGTTCCTACTTTGGATTAAGAACATCAACACATCTTCACTGTACTGCAATACTGCAATCTACAATTGATCATACCATTTTCTAACATATATTAATATTTTTAAGTTTCTCACTTCACTTCTTACCCATATTATATTCTGTGTACTACTTTCGGAAGTGTTCTTTGAATTCAATACTTTTGTCAATCCCCAACTTTGTTGTATTCATCAAGGAAACGCTCAACTTTGATTAAATTCAATTCAATAACTGAAAATATGGAACTTAACTGGAGAAAGATTGAAAACTATGCTGGTGATCCTACTCAACAACCATGGACTCCAAATACAAGTAGGTACTTTAGGTACTACCTACCAGTAGTAGTCCATCCAAGGTATGCTTAATCTCCCATTATCCTTGATCTGAATTTTACACCTTCCTTTCTTTTCTCCAGCCTTCATGACTTCTTCCCTTTTTCATGACCTCACTTCCTATTTCATTGAGAAAATAAAACTTTGTTTTAACTATCTACTGCAGTAAAGACTTCTAGACATGCATAATCTGTTATAAGCACCCCAGATGCTTATCTTTAATTAACCTTTCTATTCAGAAACCAGACCTATAATTCATCTTTTCCCTTCCTGTACTAACTTAATTAGCATAAAAACTTGCTGCAAAAAAACCTCCTTGATATCAAATTCCCCTCAATTAAAGACCATGCCTTCATTCTACTTGAAAGCAAGACTTTTAATAGAGTTGTCTTTTCAATTTTCACTATTTCGACCTTTACTGTTTTTCATTCCCCATTTTGTATGTTTTAAATAAAAAGGAAAAAGCTGTGATTTATACAGCTTTTATTGCATAGACACAGGAGAACATAAATTATGATAAAATATTAAAGTTTTCCTACTTATATAAACTTATGTCCCCTAAAATGGGAGAAATCCTCAATTAACAAGAAAAACAAACAAAAAACTGCCACAAAAACAAAATAAAAAAGAAAAACAAGGCATAACTTCCACTAAAACTCAAAGCTAAACAAAAACATAAACACTGCTAAAATAACAAGAATATGTTAAAAATAAACTTGTGTAAGTGCACTGTATCCTGATAATAAAAACATCAGTATCTGTAATAAAGAAAATTTAGATTATAAAATAAATTCATATAATTAAGTTCCATTTTCCGAGATGTACAAATCAGTATGAAAAATTACAAGCACTATTTTATCAGAAATAAAATAATTTATTATGAAGCACAACATTATAAGAATTGTAATACATCTCCAATAAACTGACTTAAATGGATATTGATTTACTTTTAAATTCACATTTAAAGTTATTACCCACAGTCTCATAGTCCAAGTGGTCAATTTCTTCTTAAAGTTGGGAAGAACTTGAAAGACATGGAATTCAAGAGGAACCTAAAATACCATAAAAGCTCATTAAAAATAATCATTATTATAAAATTAGTTTGAAAGTAAACAATCTAAAATAATATTTAGAAAATTAGTGAATCGTGTCAGTACAAATTTAATTATATAAATACTTTATATAGCAACTAATTTGTAACATGAGGAATAAAATATTTTAATCATGCTTATCAAATAATTTGCTATTTCTGTATCTCTAAACTTTCTGCAGTTATAGATAAGGATTGTTCCAACCATTTTACTTCAAAAAAATAGTATCCAAACTAGTCAGTCCTTAAATTACTAAAGAAACTTTTTCAAATTAGATCCCTGAACCTTATTCCCAGTGATTCCTATTATTTTTAGGATAGGTCTCGAACTCTTCATAAATAGAAACACTTTGTTGATGGTTTTACACTTTGTACTTTAAATCACTTAGGAAAGTTTGAAAAAATCTAAAACCTACGCTACATTCCAAACCAATAAAATATAGCACCAACTCTCTGAGGAGGGAACCTAATATTAATATATTTTAAACTTGTGTTTATTATTTTTCAAAGTCCCAGGGTCATTGCAATGTGCAGCCAAGTTTGATAAAAATTCTTATCAGAGTTGTGGTCAATAAGCTTGGGAATCACTATTTTTATATTCTTAAAGGGATCATTTCTTTTCACATCACTGAACTACCTTAAGTCAATATTGTATCTTCTACTTTGTTACTCTTTTCTTATCCTTTTTTTGGATTTTGTAAAAAAAAACTTTTTGCTATCTATGTTAAATGAAAATTTCTGCAAGACTTCAAATGTGGAGTCTGCTAGTTAATTTGGGATTTATATAGAAATTTAGTTTAATTTTCAATACATGTGCTTTTCTAAAAGAAAGCAGTTTGTTTCCATGTTACTGAATTATATTTAGCAAATACACAAACAGAAATACAAGACCACATTCTATATTAAAGCAAATGCATACATTCTCTAAGTAAGTTGACCTGATTCACTAACTTTCCCTGGAAAAACTATAACCTAAAAGACAACAAAGAAAATTCAACAACAAATCTAAAAAAACTCATAAATTTCTTTCAAGCTATACAATTTTAGAAATATTTCATTTGCATAAAGTATAAAAATATTGTTTAGTTTGAACCAATGGATAGAATAGGAACAAAACATTTAAAAAAAAAAAAAAAAAAAAAAAAAAAAAAAAAGGAAAAAACACTACCCCAAAAAGGATACAAGAAAGGATACATTTTGCATGACAGTATTACAGCAGTTTGCACTCAGGAATGCTTCTAAAGAAGAACAGCAGAATGCAGTTTAAATTTTTTTCTTATTTTTCAGCATTAGAACCAAAGAAATGACTTTCTTAAACACATAGTGAAATTACTCAATTTTCCTCCAAAGTATTTACAGACTTCTGACTTTACCACTACAGTTACTTTCCAACAAAATTTAAATATTCAAGGCATCCTTGCTAAATTCATGTTCTAGTTTAGAAAGGGAGAAAAAGTTTAAAAGGAATATATTTTCACCTATTAAAAGTAAAAAAAAAAAACCCTTAGAATTTAAAATGCTTAATTCTACCACTTCTATCCATTAAGTACTTAGGTATTAAAGTTACTTAGGTATTAAAGTTACTTGTTTCAGAGACAAAAACAGTTAACTCTACAAAAACATGTCTTTCTGAAGTATGTTAAAATTATATTTTATATTATATTCATATATATTCAGCACTATACAATTTTAAGAACTGGAAAATCTTGCTTTAACTGCTTTGCTCAGGAGTTTTCAAAGTATGGCTCCTTCACCAGTTACCCCATTACTACCTTAGACAGCTTTGGTGTGCAATGGCTCAGGTACAACCAGAGTGACCAGCTTATCTTGGCAAGCTTCTCCGCTCTTTTAGACAAGTACGGCATGCTGAGAAATCCCTCAGCTGCACCATAACTGAGGCCTCTATTCCCTGACTTCACCAACTGAATCAAAATCTCTTGGTGGGAGGGAAAGCCTAGCAATCTGTTTTATTAGGCTCTTCCAAGTGCTGAAGTTTAAAAGAACTTCTTTAGGCAGAAAAAGTAAATAGGGAATAAACACATTCTTCATATATAATAATTTTGTTATATAATTAGACTTTATTCTTTAGTTATAATTTTGAAGTTTAATGGAAATCACTTTTATGCATAGGTATCACCTTAAAAATTCTTTAGATACCCGAATCATTATTCTACTAAACTGTACCTTTGCTTAATTTTACTTTAAAAAAATATAATATTGTCTTTTTAGTAGGTTTTATCCATACTTACCATTACTAGTTTTTAACACTTTCTTTTTCCTTCTTTAGAATCTTGCTTTGGCCTAGCAGATCGAGCAAATTGCTAGTATTTTAAAATTAAGGCTTTCTTCACAAACATTAAAGTTTCTTTTCTAAATTATCACAAACTCTCTAATATAGAGCAGGAATACAATTTTTAAATTTACTTTGATGGCATCTTACCTGCTGCTGATTATGTGGAAGAGCAATAAGAATTAACCTTCGCTAATTTTTACACTTAGATATTTGTACCTTTACCTATCTTGCTGACTGCTGGTTTACAAACTGCACCATCCACTATTATATTCTTCTTTTAAAATTTTCAAGCAAAAAAAAAAAAAAATGTGAATTATAATAAAATCATAAAACTACAATCAATTAATTTTTGGTATACCAAATGTATTTCTAGATACTATAATCTCATAAGTGTAGAATAAGGATGCACTTTTGGGTTGCATGAATAAAATGTTAACATATGCTTGAAATTTTTTAACCTTACTTTTGAATTGCCTTTACTTTACAATAAAAATCTAAGTAAGATTGTAATCTGATTCAGCTAAGGCATGCTTCACTGTAACTAAACAGCTCAGGATAGAATTGCTCGGTGGCCTGCCGTGCAAGCGCAAGGACCCGAATTCGATTCCCGGTACCAAAAAAAAAAAAAAAAAAGATAGAATTGCTGAGTGGCTGAGGAAGCATGAGAATTAGTTTATTACACCCTTCTAAAAATTATGAAGTTTGGGGACAGACTAATTTAAAGGATACGACCACCATGGGTTTTCCAAAAAGAACATATCCATTAGCTTCCTTCAAGGCTTTTGCTGCTGCTTTTTCATTTGGAAGTCCTATGAAAGCTTGTCCTTTCATGCGACCTTCTTTCATCAAGCGTATATCAAACCTGCACAAGGACAAAGAGTAGTTTTAATTCAATTATCATTAACAACTTCAATGTGGTAATGAAAATGTGTTGAACAATTTAGTTTTGCTATTTCAAAGTAAAAGTGTCTACAATGACTCTTAGGTTTTCTAAAATTCTGTTCTTTCTATAAGTAGGCAGTATGATTCCATGACATGCTCATTTTCTATTTTTTAAACTACTATAAATTTATGATTGCGATTTAAAAACCATTAGTAGGAAAAGCTTAAAAACAAACATGTTTTTCAGTTGTTTTAGAAACTAAACCCAGGGCCTTTCATATGGTAGACAATACCTCTAACACTGATCTACAAAGGAAACAGATTTTATTTCATATCTGTTTTTATAGTTTCTTATAGTCAATTCAATAGTGTCTGCTTTAGAGCCAAAAATTTTACAAAAGCTCAAAAACAATGAACAAGAACCGATAATAAGCAATTAACAGAATTTCAGGGTTGGAATGGACCTTACGTGATGCCTAGACACTGATTCTTCAAAGCAGATATAAGCCACAGACTTTCTTCCTAGCACAGTATTCTGTTATTCCATAGTATATTCCTTTTCAACATTTCTGAGAGGAAATTATATTTGAAATCTACTTAGTAAAATGAAATTGCAATTTACAACTCAAGCACAGCCTATCATTAGGAAAGCAAAAGAATATAAAACACACACACAAAAAAATACCAATTTTAAAAATAAAACAAAATGTTAAAATAAAAAAAAAATCACGACAGTCTTGTGGGAAATAATTTACCATTTGGATATCCATCCATATATTCTACATTGCTATTTCTCAATATAGATTTTTATTTTTCTGGAACTGGAATTGAAGACAGGGCTTTTATGCAGAGCTGCATCCCCAGCCTTTTTGAACTTTCATTTTTGAGACAGGGTCTTGCTAAGCCATTAAGTCATGTAGTTTGCACCTGAAGTTGTGATCCTCTTACTTCAGCCTCCTAGAGTGCTGGCATTATGGACGTTCACCAAGAAGCCAAGCAAAATTAGTTTTTCACTTCAAATTCTAATTAAAGACAATATTGGATAGAAAGAATGTTTACAAATATACCTATATGCATTTATTCAAGTGCAATTTTTTTTCTTACAATCATGACCAGCAACAAAGGACAAGTGTTTGGCATAGCCAGAAAAATAAATTTCTGTAGGTTGATAAGAACAGATAATGGCTTCTAATGAATATGAATGGGGAATTTTAAAATATGGTACTACATGTACATACCTATCTAAAAAGATTCACAGACCAGGTAATATTTTAAAGGCGGTGATGGCTTTAATTAAAGTTATTTCTCTATTTTACTTCCACCAAAAGTCTCACCTTTTCTTTTATCCTTCATCCTACTTTTAATTTATAAGGCCAATAGTCTATCTTAACTTTACAATTAATTAATGCGAGAAAAGAATAGTAGCCTAATAAAAAGTGGTAAATTCATAACAGATAAAAACAATTTGAGGTTATGACTGTCACTTACATGATTCGTTGTGTTTCTGAGGAGAAGTCAACATATCGTCCAAAAATGAATTTAAGGTCCTGGAATTTTGGTAACAAAAAGATAATTAAGGAAGCTAGTGGAAACAAAGGTAAATAAAAACATTAATTTTTTCAACTTACTTTTTCTTGAACATGCTTAGCTAAATTCTTTACATAAATTCTACAGTTGGGTTCACCAGGTTCATAACTTCTGAAAACTGAAAGTGATTCCATTTCTTAAAAACAAGACAAAACAAGGACATGAAATTAAAATGTTTTTACCAATTTTCAAAGAAAATTATAATGACATTCAAAACAGGCAAAACAACCTTTAAGAAAATGTTAAAACCATAGATACCAGTGTGAATATTATGAATGGGTATATAAATCTTCAAAAATCTGAAGTAAATATAAATACATTTAATTTTATTGTTTCAAAAATCTCAGACATCTGGAATAACCAATTGTTTTTTTTTTTTTTTTTTTGAGACAGGGTCTCACTATATAGTTGAGATTGACCTGGAACTCACTATGTAGCCCAGGCTGGTCTCAAACTCACAGCTATCCCCTCCTACCTCAGCCTCCTGAGTGCTGGGATTACAGGCATGCGCCACCACACCTGGCTTGGAATAACCAAATTTTGTCCAATGAAGTACTTACTATTAAGGTCTCATTAAAATAAATTCATTTAAAAAAAAACTTGAACATATCTGACAATAATGATTTACATAATTATTTGAACCATTAGTCATATATATATTAAAATTAAGAATGACATAGCCAGGGCTGGGGATTTAGCTCCATGGCATTGTGCCTGCCTTCCAAGTGTAAGGTCCTGAGTTCAGTCCCTGGTACCACCCCCCGCCACACACACAAAAAAAAAAACCCTAAAAAACAATCATCACATATCAAATATTTTAGATAAAGAACCTCTGATCTATTTTATGATTATTTTATTGCCAGTAATCTGTTCTTGACAACTAAATATTTTATATAAAACTGATACTTGGAAGTCTATCTCTTATTACTATGGGTAAAACTATATCCATGAAAAACCCCTACATTTTTCTAACGTATTAAAGCAATAAAAATCCTTTAGAAATAACGAACTTATTATTTTAGTATAAAAAACCTAAAGCATTAATTTCTAGTAACCATTTTTTTAAAATATCCCTTTGTATACCTCTGAGATACAGTATTTTCATGGTCATAAACTGTACTATATTTGGAACATATAAACTTAGACTTGGAACACATTCATTTATTTGTTTTAGAGGCCTTTTCTCTTCTTTTTTTTCCTTCTAGTACTGGGAATCAAACTTGGGACCTTGTGCTTGCCAGGCAGGTGCAGTACCACCGAGCAAATTCCCTGACCCGATTCATTTGTTTTATATACCATATAAAGTTATAGAAATGAGAACAAAAAATATTCAAATACTGGCTGGAAATATTGCATAAAAAACTTCCCCCACATGAAATACTAATTTTAAAAACTAAAAGAAGTGATAGCAAATACTATTAACTAGATAAATATTTTATAGTGTGTGCATAAAGTAAATGCCATAAACAGGTATTTTGCTTCTGTAGACTTAAATGTAAGATGGAATATGCGCTGGTTTATTTCATTACGTTACCTTCTCTAGAAATTCTACCTTTCTCCAACTCCCTTCTAGAAATACATTCTGAGGGCATTTCATCAGAGTCTTCTTTAGTCTCTTCTGTGATGTTCATATTAGGTTTGGGGAAGATTTTTCCAAATCCTACACTGGATGCTTCAACTTCAATAGCAGGTAAATCTAAGAGTTTAATATTAACATTACCCATTAAAAATTTCTCACTTCAAAACAGCTTTCAGGTGTATTTCTTCACATTTTTAATTTAAAAAATTATTTTTTGTTTTCAATTTTTTTGATGGCTCTCATGGTTCTAAACAAGCATAAGTAAATATTTTTTACAAAGGTCCAAATAGTAAGTATACCAAGGCTTTATAGATCACATAGTAACTATATAAAAAATTCTGTTATTATACCATGGAAATGTACTGACAAGAGCTAACAGCCGCAAGCAGTTGCTTTATGGTGATATTTAGAGAGTCTATAAAGAGGACAGAAAATGAATTCAATTTCAGCACACTGTGCTTGCCAGAGATAAATAATGAAAATGTTTAGTGAACATATTTCACCTACTCTGATTTTTTTTTTTTTGAGGCATAGGAGATTTAGTAAACAAAAAACAAGACTCCAGCTTAAATAACTGGAGGAGGCATATTGATAGAGAGGTTCAAATTGACCCCATCATGAAATTTTAAATACTGTATGAACAAAAAAAAATCTGGGATTAATCAAAAAGCTTACAAATCAACAATGGTATTCTGCTAATGGGATATTCCCCCTATATCACTTACACAATAGTTATGTATTTATCTACAGTGCTACTTCAGAATATTGTAAAAGAATTTGCAATCTTCTTAAAAAACAATAAAAAGATTAACAATTGCATATTAAACACCATAAAATATGACATTTCCATTTGGGGATACTAAAAAAATATAGTATCTTCCCACTCCACCAAGAAAAAGGGTAGCAGTCTTTATGACACAAGAACAAGTATTTACATATTTTTTATAGTTGTTGTGTTTTATACTAAATTAGTTACACATTTAAAAACTACTCAAGTAAATTAAAACACTTCAATTTTTAATTTTAGAAAATATGAATTTTATTCATAAATATAAATCAGTATCAGTAAGAACTAATCTGGCTTGAAGGGGAATATTTGGAAGGATAATGTTAAATGTTCAGTAGAAACATTCTAGTCATATTACCTAAACAAAAGCAAAAAACAAAACAAAACAAAACAAAAAACCCAAAGAGATGCTAAGAGACAGGTGGGAAGATGAAGCAAAGAAAAGAACATGCCACAGTAAAAAGTGTAAAAATGTCTTCATAATACAGAAAGGACACTGAATAAATAGAACTTTTGTGACCTTAAAAAAATCAGTAACAAAAAACTTTAAAATTCTTCTGTTATTTCAACATCAGTACTTCAACAATATTGTAAAATCTGATTATTGTTCCATCTCATAATGGTAGAAAGCTTTCTATAAATAAAACTTTAAAAAGAATCTATGCCCCATAAATATGTACAATTTTATGAGTTATAGATAATTCATGCTATCTGAAAAAGCAGAAATTAAAGTTTCATTTACAAAACTCACTAGAATTCTCTTATATTTATTCAAGCACTTAAAGAAACATAATCAAAGATGTATAATCCTGTGTGCACGTGCATGTGCACACACACATACAATTACTAATATTGGTTACCTCTATTAAGTAGGAAAGAAGATAGCTAGGCCTATGGTGTTTGTTTTTTAAAAATTTTACTTTGTGGCCAGGGATTTGGCTCAGTGGTTCTGCCACCTGCCTCACAAGTGCGAGGGCCTAAGTTTAGAAAAAAAAAAAAAAAAAAAAAAAAAAAACTTTGATTTTGTTCTGATTTTATTAGTACATGTTCGTAGCACATAATGAGTACATCTGTTGTGAGGGTATTTGTACATAACACCTCTTTTTAAAAAATTTCCTTTCCTCTCCCTCCTTACAAAGGCATGTTATAGGGTCAGGGATATAGCTCTTTGGTTGGGTGGCCTGCCTTGCAAGCGCAAGGACCCGACCGAGTTCAATCCCTGGCACCAAAAAAAAAAAAAAAAA